CCTCTCGCCGGCAGGCAGAGCGGGCACAGGGCCTGCCTGGAGCCTCCCGGTTCTTCCAGGAGCCCCTGAGATGTGAGAGGACTCAGGACCCTGTGGAGCCTCTTCTCAGCGGCTCACGTGCAGGTTCGCCATGACCACGCAGACAGGCACCTGTGTCACAGGGCCACTCTCCCTCCGCAGGGTCTTGGGGAGGGTCCTTCCTGCCTCTTCCAGGTGCTGGGGGCTCCAGGCGTCCCTGGGCTCGTGGCCTCATCATGCCAACCTCTGCCTCGTGGGGTCCCGAGCGTGTGTAGCGTCTGTGTCCTCTTTTCCATCTCTTGTGATTGCGTTACGGCCCATCCAGATAATCCAGGATAAAATCCTCCCAACATCCTTAACTTAATCTCATCTTTTGCCATATAAGGTAACATTCAGAGGTCCCAAGGGTTTTGCGTGGGTTCTCTGGGGGGGAAGGGCGCATTTTTCAGTTTCACGAAAATTTTCCCAAAATAGCCTTTTCAAGTACACGCTATCCAGTAAAGTGTAAGCTTCCTGAAGGCAAAGGTTTCCTTCCACTTTTGTTTTTCTGATACTACCTGGGTTTAGTCTGCGCTCTGGGGGTCGCATCCCTATTTATTTCAGCTGTTGATCATCACAAATGACAAAGGGCAGGAGGGTGGATTCAGATTTCTCATTCACTTTGTAGTTGGGAAACCAGTTAGTTAAGTTTCAAGTTTTGTTTGTACTTTGCCCTGATCTGCTCCATCATCTACACGAAGCACGTGGACTCAGCCAGGCTGGACCCCCACTCGGAGCCACACTTGGACCCCTGGGCAGAGGGAGTGACAGGTCTGCTCCGTCCGGCTCCTCCTCTCTGACTGAGCCTGGGGCCACGTGGGGGCCTCTCACTCCCTACTCTTCTGCTGGAAACACACGGCTCCACGCCCCCTCCCCTTCTTCCTCTGGGACCATGTCTTGTCTCCCCCGAGTGGAAAGGGAGTCTTCCTTTGGCACAGTCGCCGCTACATTTCTGCCTTACAGCCCATGTCCTACGAATATTCTTGACTGGTCCAGTCTATGCCACACACTTTTCATCTGCTACCTCAGCAGACTCCAGGATCGGGTGGGAATGCATTCAGCTGCAGCAATGGTCACTCTCACTAGTCTCTTCTCACTGAGCCAGGAGGCTGGAGGTTCAGGGACTGGCACTGGTTTGGAGCCCAGGTTGGGCACCTCTGTGATGCCGGTTTCTTACCCCCTCACTGTCCCAGGATGGCTGCTGCAGCTCCAGCCATCACAACTGTGTCAAGGCAAGAAGAAGGGGGGCCTGGCATGTGTCACCTACACTTATCTCTTTTCCCAGAATATCAAAACTTTACCCCCAAATGCCACTGTAGCCTCACGCTTACTTCTTATCAGCCAGAAGTGGCCAACCAGAGCTGTAAGAGATGTAAGAGGTTCTCCACCCTCTCCATTGGAACTAGACAAGGTTGAAGAGGGCTGGGAACCACCCACCCCCTCGAGAGCCCTGTGAATTTTTTTCTAGAGATGAGAAGACTCGGTTCAGAGAGCAGCTTGCCCCGGACACAAGAGCCAGGGAGCCTGCCCACGGCCCCTCAGAGTGATCACGACAGGCCCCGCCTCCAGCTGCACTGTTCAACCTGAGCGCCTGGGTCTCAGCCCCACTTGCTGCCCTCCATGCTGCCCACCATAAAGCGGATGTAACCAATAACCCACAAAAGCATGGCAGTGCCTGGCCTCCTGCCGTGTGCTTGCCAACCTCTGCCAGGTGAGGGCTCCGAGTCCAACAGGAACCCGTGTAGCAGCAGCAGGCAGGGCGATATTGGGATCTACAGGGTCAGTGCAGGCGAGCTCTCGGGAAGCAGTTAGGGTGGCTGAAATAGGCTGGCGGGGAAGGACCAGGGTGGGGAGCAGGCCTCCAAGGCCGGGTTAGCCTGGCCATAATCTGCCTGGTCCAAAGGGCCCCTGAGCCCTGCGCTCACTAGAGCCTCAGAGGTGGGGAGAAGGCTGCAGGTGCCCAGACCTGACGGAGGCGGCCTCGTCCTCAGGAGGGCTGGGGACCCTGGGGTCATGGCTGAGGTGTGCCCCTCATCCCTGTATCTCCCCCCGTCGGTGAGCAGTCGTGCGAGGGGCAGGGGCAGGGTGTGTGCACAGGGGCAGCTCCCACCTGGAAGGTGCTAGGTGCACCTACCCCAGCTTCTTTGGGGTAGGTGCCTGAGGGGCTGTCCAGATGCAGCCGGGGCCTGCCTGCGAGTGGCTGCGGCTCGCCCCATGCCGCTGCAGTGCAGAAAGTCAGGCCCGGTTGTCCTGCCTCCCTACTTTCAGAGTCAGCAATTGCAGGGGGAGCTGGCCCCTGCTTCCTCCTCCTGGCTGAAGCCCTGCTGGGCACGGAGGCGGCTCACGAGCTCTGGGGATGGTCCAGGCCAGCAGGACGGGAGACCCTTCGGGCTCTGGGCTCTGCAGGCAGGGCATGGAAACAGGAGTCTTCGCTGGACACAGCCAGGAAGGATCCTGCCTCTTGGGAAGTGAGCTGCGTGGCCGAGTGTCCAGGACAGAGGTTTGGCTGCCAGCCAGCCAAACTGAGCCCAGCCCACCTTGGGGACTCTAGCCGGGTGTCCTTATGTCAGGCCCGCCCCAGCTGGGCTTTACTTGCATCTTAACTGATAGCTCAGCTAGGTACAAGTGTTTACACTCGCAGGTGAACACAAACCCCGTCCTCTGTGTTCAGATGAGCTAGTCACGATGGTAGGACGTTTACATGAGCCCCCACCCCCTCTTGGCCCTGTTTACCTTCCAACAGCCGCAGGAAGGTCCTCACACTCCGTCTCACGTCACACTTTGGATAGAGGTTAGTCGGCAAAATGATGCATTGACAAGTCACACATGTCGGTACTGATCTTGTGTAGAAAAACAGCCGGGAAAAGGCTCTTTCGTTCAACATTTATGAACGAATAAGCATCAGAACCAGCGAGCAGCTGTCCTTGATCAGACGCTTCTCACTTGGTCCAGGGTGGAGGCTGATGCCACAGAGCACCGGCTTCTGGGCAGTGCCTCGCGTGTGACCAGGGTGGGTTCCTGCCATCCGGCCGGGGAATGGTCGTCCGAGTTGGAGCTCGATTGTCGGAGGTTTGTGAGGATGTGTGCGTGTCAGGGTGTGTGAGTGTGAACGGGGGCGCGTGTGAGTTCAGTGGTGTCTGGAGCCGTGGTTGTGTGGGTCTGTCTTCAGGCTCCCAGAGGCTCCCTGCCTCCCGTTTGGAGGGCCTGGTGAGAAGCAGCCCGGGGCTGGGCTCGGGTCTGACCCTGATTCTCAGTCCGGTCGCACGCAGCTGGCTGAGGTCTCCTTGTGGGTGAAGTGACCGTGCTGGCGTTCACCCCAGGGTGGAGAGGTGGTGACACGAGAGCTCACGCAGTTCCCGGAGCGCGTGGCCAGCGCCACAGCCGCTCTGGTTCTAGGGCCTGGACAGCTCCGCTCGCTGGGGGAAGGTGGGAGATTGCCCCTTCTCCTCCCGCCCCTGCCCCCTCCCAGCCCAGGCCAGGCAAAGAGTAGGGGAAGTCCAAGATGCTCCAGGCCGCCAGCCCCTGGAGGACCCCTCTGGCTGCCAAGTCCGCGGGACCAGCGTGGGCCGGTCCTTGGGTCTCCATCTCTGTCACCAGCCTTCACCCTGGGATGGACTGACCGACTGGCTCAAGGCTGAGGGGCCTGGAAGCCTCCCTGGAATGTTCTAGAAAGCTGCAGAGGACTTGAGACGGGGCTGCCCGGCCTGAAGTGACCTGCAGCAGGAGGACGCAGCGGTGTTTGGCGTGTGGGCTGTGCCCTTGCTGACAAGCCGTTTTTCTCGGGGAGCGGGGGAGGACAGCAACAGAAGCCTTTTGTTTGCTTCCGTTTACTTCTGAGAGCCGGGATATTTGCTTAGTTTCTAGCCTCCTGGCTGCACCAGCTCCACTCAGGGGGCACCTGGTTGGTGACCACGTGCCGGGCCTCGGGTGTGCCCGAGTCCCTCCACGGTCTTGTAGGAAGTGAGATGATGGCAATACGTGGCCTGGAACTGTGGGCAGTCACTTGGCAATCCAGACTCAAAATATCGCTGTTTGCCGGCCTCCGTAAATGGCACAGCCCCACAGGCCTGGTGCAGCAGGCTTGAAGCCTCGCCCCGCTCAGGAGAGACTCAGGCACCCGGATGCACGCCCCCAGCCCCTGCACACACCCCGTACCCCTCCCTACACCCCCGTCTTCGCCCCTGCCCTACACCCTCTGCCGTACTTCCCTTGTCTACACCACTGCCCCTCACCCCTGAGTGTCTATAACTGCCCTTCACCCCTGGCCCTACAAGCCCACCTACACCCCCCTATGCCACCATCCAGGCTGTGACATGCCAGGGGATGTTGCCACAGGCCAGTCAAATCTGGGGTGAGAGGCAGTAGGGGCACCCTCTGGGGTGAGCCGGGAGGGAGGGGGCACCCCCACAAAGGGCCCAGTGAGCCGGACACGCCGTGAGCCCCTCGGTCAGCTGATAAGTCTCAAGGCCAGACCCCAGACCTCATCACCTAGAAACTGAGGATGGGGGCAGAGCAGGACCCGCTGCCGCTGAGTCACTCGACTGTGGCGGGAGAGCACTGCGACCCCACCTGAGGAGCCCTCGCGCAGAACCTGGGGCGCCCGCAGCCCAGGACGCAGGCGAATCTGGGGGTGCGTAGGGTCCCCAGATGGGGCAGGTGCCCAGGTGATGCGAGGTCTCCAAGTGCGTCGAGTCCCAGGTAAGCCCTGGGGCGGGCACCGACTTCCCCTAAGGCTTCCTCCCGGCAGCTTCTGTCCGCTTCCTCACCCCCCGCACCCCGCCCCCCGCAGAGGCCCTTGGCCCCGCCCCGCCCCGCCGCCCCTCGGCCTCGATCTGCCCCCAGCCCGGCCCCGCCCCCCGGTCCCACCCTGGATCCTGGCCCCGCGCCTCGGCCGTCGGCAGCCACGGCGCGCAGGCGCGGACAGGTGTGCGCCGTTTGAAAGAATGGCGCCGGCGGGGCGGCTGGTTCTGTGTGAAGAGAAGATCCAGGGGAAGGCCGGGCTGGCGCCTCACCGCGGCCTGGGTGCGCGGCGGGCGGTGGGCGGCGGACGGGTGGGCGGCGCTGGCCGGGGGCGCGAGCTTCCCGCCGAGGTGTCGGCGGACCTGTCGGGCCAGAGGTGACGAAACGCGACCGCGGCTCCCGAACGGTCGCAGGCCTGGGGGCGCGAGGGTGAGGGGCAGGCCTGGGGGGGCCCGAAGTGGGGGAGGGTGGGGGAGGGGCAGGGGTTCCGAGCTGAGTCCCCCGAGAGGTGGGGGCCAAGCTCCCCCTCGCAGACTGCCCGCGGGGAGCTCTTCCCAGCCGGGTTTGCTGAGCCCTTGCGCCAGTGCTTTTCGCCTTGACCGATAAGGTCACTTGGGCTTTCTTTCCCCGTTGATGATGTGCGTTAGGCTGATTTTCTGAAAAGGCGTGGAGCGCCTTCGTGTCTGGAGGAGGAGCGTGCCCTCCTTTAGTAGGACCCCCGGGTGCCCCGGACCCTGCTCCTCCTGTGCTCAGCACCCGTGGGCCCATGTCCTGAGGGATACGGGTCGCTAGTTTTCTGTTTTCCTGTTTTTGTCTAGTTTTGTCATCCACGTAATGCCCAACTCATGAAATAGTTGGTAAATTGCCCCTTCTTCTGTTTTCCAGAAGAGATTGTGTGAAATTGATGCCGATTCTTCTTTGTTCGATGGAGTTTTCCAGTGAAACCTTATGGGCCTGGAAATTTCTGTATTTGAAGCTTCTAAATGACGAATTGTTTCTCTAGTCATTATAGAACTGTTTGTATCATCACCTTCATCTTAGGTGAGTTATAGCCGTCTGGGGTTTTGCGAAACTGGTTCATTTCATCTAAGTCGTTACATTTATGTGTGTAGAGTTTGTGGTATTTCCTTATTAGCCTATTAATGTCTCTGGGGTCTGTAGTGATACCCTTCTTCCGGTCCATGTTATTGGTCATCTCTGTCTTCTTTTTCTTGGTCTTTCTGGAGGTTTATGGATTTCATTAATCTTTTCAATGAGCCAGCTTTTGTTTTTTCTCCATTGGTTTTCGGGTTTCAATTTCATTGATTCTGTATCTGTATGATTTTCTTCTTTCTGCTGCTTTGCATTTCTTTTGCTCTTCTTTTTCTTGATTCTTGAGATGAAAGTTTAGATTTCTGACTTGAGACCTTTTTAAATATAATATAAGCATTTTAGTGCTATAAGTTTCCCTCTAAGCACAACTTTAGCTGAATCCACAAGTTTTGTTATGTTGTGTTTTCATTTTCATTTAGTTTCACTGTGTTTGTTTATTTCCCTTGGCTTCCTCTTTGACTTATGGATTGTTCACAAGTGTGTTCTTTTCATTTTTGTGTGATTGGAGGTCTTCCTAGTTTGTTTGGTATTTTTTTCTTTTTGTTATTGATTCTGGTGTGATTCCATTATGGTCAGAAAACACTCTGTATGATCTTAATTATTTTAAATTTGAAGTTTGTTTTATGGCCCAAGATCTGGTCTATAATGTTCCAAGTGCACTTGGAAAGAATGTGTACTCTGTCATTGGCTGGAGTGTTATATAAATGTCAATTTGATCTTGTTGACTTGTGACGTTGTTCAGTTCTTTTGTATCCTTGCTGATTT